AGAGAAAAAAAAAAAAAAAAGAAAGGCAAAAAAGCTTTCAACCACTGCTCTCTTCCATGGCGCTTCCTCTTTCCGGTGGGTGTGCACGACTAAACATTCCAACCTCTGCGCTATCGAGAAACCGTTTCACTGTTTTTGCTACACTGTCCCCTCCTCGGCCGGATACTGTGAACTGGGTCGAAGCCACTTCCAGCTTTTTCGACCAAGACACGAGGCCTATCATGTTGTTCGATGGTAACAGCTCATTAGTTTTGCTTCTTTTTTTTTTTTGCTGTTTAGTTTTAACCAAGCTAGACATGAGCACTTGAATTTTCTTATTTTGGACAGGAGTTTGTAACTTATGTAATGGAGGCGTCAGGTTTGTTCGTGAAGTTGATCGAAACAGGTCAGTAATGAAATTTAGAAGCAAAATTTAAACCCAATATATAAAGAAATTGTTGTTTCGTCCGGACAAAGATGTTTTTGAGTTTTACATCTTTATAATTATTCAAGTATGGGTTGTTAATTGTCTATGTTTTGAGGATGGCTTTTTTCTTGTTTTCTTTATCGATTTTGATAGGAGAATTAGATTCGAGGCTCTTCAGAGTGAAGCAGGGAAGAAACTATTGATGAGGTCTGGAAGAGCTCCTGATGATATTTCTAGTGTTGTTCTTGTTGAAAAGGATAGGTAATTTATAACCCAATTTCTAATTAGGGTCTTTAATTATTAATTCATGAGCTTATTTGCTTGATTTCAGCAACTGGGCAATGGTTTTTTCCACGTGTCCATGATGTTATGTTTAGTTTGAACTTTGAAGAATTGACAAGAATAAAAGAGAAGAGAGTCTAACAAGAGTTTTGAAAGCTGTAATATTTCTTACCAAACTTCATATTAAAACTAGCGCATCTAATTTGAGAAACTGGTCAGACTATCTGGAGGTGGATTGCACACTAAAAACTGAGATTTGATGGTGGATTTCAGATCATATATTAAGTCAGAAGCAGTGCTAAAGATCATGGAATACCTAGACTTGCCTCTCCCCCAGCTTGCAGTCATTCTACAGTTTGTACCCTTGTAAGTCATGCCTTTTTGTTACACTTTATCTTATGGAAGTAGTCCTTTGGGATCTATGTCATGATTGTTCTTTTCCATTTTTGTTTTTCTTTTTGGTTGGTTGCAGGTTTGTAAGGGATTTTATATATGATAATGTTGCAAGCAACCGTTATGCACTTTTTGGCTATTCAGACTCATGTGAGATATGAAGTAACATAGTAGGTTATTATACTCTCTCAATATGTAATGTAAGCCTCATATTTATAGGCAATTAATCCTAATCCTTGTAAAATTTTGTATAACTTTTATACTAATTGCATAATTGTCTCAATGCCAATTGAACTATTCAATTAAGTTCTTGAAGTTCTCAACTTCTTTCAATAAAGTTTAACTTAATTAACTCCTTTTTAAATTCTCAATTGATATTTTTTAATGAGTGTGACCCATTAGGTTCTTAACATGATAGCAATTAATATAATTTATAATCCAAGTTCAACTAGGATTAGATGAATCAAATTCTTTTGCATTCATCGTCAATTTCCCAATAGATTAGTTTATTTTTGTAAGTCAAGATTGGCACTAATAATGCATCATGATTACCCAAATGTTAAGAAGAGTAATAATGCTTTTTGACTCAACTTTTCAGTTAACAGCCTTGCAGTGTATTATTCCCTTCATTGTCTAATATCTCGACAAGACTTCGATCATGTGCCATTATTTGCTTTATGGAACAAAAAAACTTATGACGCCAAGCATGGATTGCTATATATGAATCATGATGTTTTTACGGGCTATAGAACTGGTCTTTCAACTAATAGTGGCATAATCTAATTTTAATAGCCATGTTTGTTAAAGATACCTTCTGATGTCATTACTTTAATAGGATATAATAACATTAAAATCCTATGCTTAAAGCTTATTGGTCAAGGTATAGCCTGTTTCATGCTAAAAAAGTATGATTCATTGTCTATTTTTCTTGTTGTCAAAGTTTCTGATCATTTATGTGACTTGTCATTGACATAGAGCTTGCCTTGAGCAAGCCTTATTTAAATCAGTTGTCAGCTACAGCAATACTTTTTGCAATGATGAGGGCAGTTTTAAATGGTTATTTTTTTTAATGTCACAGATAATATTGTGTACTTTTGCTGTTGCATGACAGTCCTCCTCATCTTAATTTAGCTTCTTCTCTCTACCTCTCCTCTTTTTGAAAGCATCGTAATGAAGCTTGATCCTTTGAATAGTGATGAGGTGGTCTGAAAATGAACTCCCAAATTTAGTTAGTTTTCTTATTAGATCATCTTCTTTCTTGTCCTCAATATTATTGCAAGTTCTGACTGCTTGTAGAAACAAAATGTTTGACATATAGAATTTGGAGGTAGAGTTATGCACCTTATTTGCACTGGCAGCATCCTTTACTTCTCAAAATTTCCATTGTCATGTTTATAACGAGTTGCATAAATTTGTTTTAAATATTTCCTGGATGGTACATAAAGAACTTGATTCTTTGACTGGAGATGTACTAGAGACAAATGACAGTGCTTGAAGCTGCTATTTTTCTTGTTAGATTGCTTTTGCATCAATCCTATTTTATTATTTTTCCAACTGCTGACTGCTAGAATAAAAGGAGATTAGAAATATGTTGTGGAAATCTAATTAAAAAAATTTTATATTAGGCTCAAGGAATAAATTTTGATCTCTGATGAGTTTCTACACTTGTATTTTACTAGAAATGTTTTGCCAAGCTTTTCAAAAATGTGGAAAAGGATTTTGAACTCGATTTCTGCTCTCCATGGAAAGAATCATACTAGGAAGCTGCTGATCTCTAATGCATATGTACAGCAATCTTTCCATTGGAATTTATGGAAACAAAGAATGATGAGTAAATGATACATCATTATAATCTAACTGTGGGTTTTTAATTACAAAGAAGAGTCCTCACACATGTATTTACTTTATATACTACCAATCCAGCTGCATTTAATTTAAAAGGTATTTGTACACATGTATTTACTTCTGCTGTCATTTTTGTTTGACCACCGTCTGCTACATCCACCTCAGAGATAGTAGCCTGAAAGTAAAACATTCAAACAATAAGAATTGAAGACTTGTGCATGTACATAAACATCGACAAGGATACATTTATATCTAGAATCAGACATTCAACAACTTAAAATTTTGCCTAATGAATTTTATCCTTTTACTGAGGGGGTCAGGATTCAGGGTCATACTCCTCCCTTCTGAATTGGAATGTATTATTTACAGTCTCACTGCAACTAAAGACAGATGAAAAGGGAGTTTCTGGGATCGTACTTGTGCTGCTTAGAAAAGAGGCAGTTGAGTTGATACAAATATGGTCTGCTAGTCCAAGCTGTTGAGAGGTTTGCTTTCAAAAGTCTGACCTTTAAACAGCCTAGTTAAGCCAATTGCATATCTGCAAAAATGGCAGAAAGTTAGCTGAAGTTGGATTAATTTCAATGTCAAAATCTTCAGTAAAGCTTTTTTAGTGATTTACCCAGTAATTAAAAGGACTAAGGCAATAATCCATAACAGATATTGATAGCATTTGTGCTTTGGCTTTTTATGCTTTATCTCATATCCAGGTGGAATATGCTTGCGGCTTACATATCCAAACTGAGGACGAATGAGAAGTACAAATCCAACTAGAAATCCGGAGATAAACCCTCCTACATGAGCTGAATTATCCACATGAGGTAGAAATCCCACGGCTAGATTCAAGGAAATGATTGACACCAGGGTCAACAAAGCTGCACACTGAATAGACAAGAGTTAGAACACTCAATTGCCAAAGCTGTTGTTGTTATCTCATAGTCTGATAGAAGTTAGAATCTTGTAAAGCATACAGTGTTTACCTTGTTTGCATAGTTTGTCCAGTTTGTAATGAGCTCAGAAAGCATAGCTCCCAACAGCCCGAAAAGTGCACCTGATGCACCAACAGATATGGTTTGTTTCCGCCCAGCTGAAGCTAGAGCAGACATCAAACTTCCACCAAAGCCAGAAAGCACATATAAGAGGCCGATTCTAACTGCAATGTTCAAGTATTGAGAATTAGTTACCTTATGAGAAAGCTCAGTTCTTGTATTTACAGATTAATTACTTACTGAATCCAAATTCTTGTTCCAGTCGAATTCCTATGAATAAAAGGCTCATCATATTAGCTACTAAATGGATGACTCCAGCATGAAGCCATATGCAGGATATGAGGCGCCACGCCTGCTTTCTCTCGACCACCAGTTTCCAATCAAGAGCTCCTAGTTCTTTCAGCCTGTGGAAACAAAATTTATAAGTAGGAGGTTACTTAACATGATACAACTCCACTTAACTGCTTAAAGTATAGATTATCACTAGCTGAATCTATTTCAGCATTCTATCCTGATAGTTTCTTTGGTATTAACCAACACTTACATGCCATTCAAAGTTTACATTCATTTTTCCACTGAAGAATATTTTATGGGGAATAATTTCTAAAAGGTCATTTTGCCAGACAGCCAGAATAAGAAGTGCATGATAGATCATAACCCTACCAACATCTACGAACAGCTTATTTTGGTTTTGAAGTTTCGACAATATATTTATCATTCCAAATTATTTGAAGATTATAGGCATAACTTGAAAAAAGCAAGTAGAAATCCTGGTTAGGTGCCAGTGCGGAATATACTTACAAATATCAGGACATCAATCAGCTTTAAATGCAAAGTTGTTACATATATAAATGCATTATGATAAACAGAAACAACTATTCTTTGTCAAATGGTATGGAGACTTTCAACTAAATGAAGGGAAGAACCTGATACTCTTGATCATTGATCGAGTGAGCCACTTACTCATTATGCTGCTAACAATTACTTAACTATAAATTTTAGAACAAACTAAATGTTGCGGCCACTTGAGCACCCGCTGTAGGAAAAATGCCAAATAGGAAGCCAGAATTGGAGTTATCTTAATTATCATCAGAACAATTTTGCTTTCATAAACATCCTGATGTTGATAATTTGCCGAAGAAAGCAAAGAGAGAATCGAATGGAATTTCAAGAACTATGTTGATTCATTCAACAAAACGTTTATGACCCCAATTGAAACATAAAAGTCAAACTATGATCACCTGGATGAATAAGACAACACAAGAAATATGAGAGACGTAAATTCTTACGTGCTGAATGAAGGGCCAAGAAGAGGGTTATCCTTAAAAGGATGGAACGAAAACCTTCCTAGATAATCATAGAAAAGACATTTGTCTGCCCCGATTTTCACTGGACAATCATTGATGTACATGGTGAGAACAAACATTACGATGTTTGCCACAAACACGAGGGGCACGAGCCATGCAAACCATAGTTTCGGGGCCGGGGGTGAAAAGTGCGGTGGGGGAGGTGGCGGCGTCCTACGATGTGACTTGTAGGTTCTTCCTGTCTCAATGTCGGATGATGGTGGTGGTGGCAGCCCCTTCCCCATGACCGTGAGGAAGAGACAGCGAAGGTTGTCCTCAACGCCAACGTTAGATAGGGTGGTGAGAGGAGCTATTAGGCACCCAAAGAACGGGAGAGAGACAAAGAGGAATGAAGAGGATTTTTGGTGGCAAGGAATGAGTTTTGCTAGGTTGGTAGTTGGTTATGTTTGGTGGCTTTTCCAGCTTATAAAAGTTCTTTTTGGGGCCAAACTACCTTATTCTAGCAAAGGAATTTGATGTTGAATTGGACTATGGTACAAGGCCGATGGCTCTTAGCCAATGTTTCCGCATTCATTTGATTTTTCTGTTGTCTATTACTATCTTTTCTGGTTTTCTGTTATTGTATATTGACAATATGAAAAAATTAGCAGCACTGTTACTCAATAAAATGAAATTAAGAACCTTGAACAGCAATATAATATTATTATAATAGAAGGTAATCCTCTCTTTTATTATAAAAGTATAAACCAGTAATTGAATCCATTTCAATGAAAGATACTCAAACCTTAACATTCCTATAGAGAACAAAAGGTTTATTAATGCTACAACTAATATTAATTTTGCTTCAAGATTTATTGATATTGATTAGCATTTTTTAAATTAATGTAATTTATTCTTTTATGCGTAACTAATTTGACCAAGTGAAATTGGACACATTGTCGTAAAATTTTTACCCGGTTAGGCAAGCAAAGAGTGATAAGGCTAGAATTTTGTGGTCAATATTGTAGCTGTTATTCCCAAAGGGAATGGCAGACGGTGAGGAAAGTATTGCCCGATATAAAAGGCCTTTCAAAATGTTTCCTTACATTCAGTAATTGGTGGCATCTGCCATTTACTATTACCTTTCTAGTAAAGCATAGAAAGCCATTTAAAAGTTATTAGAATCAGAAGTTCTTTTTTTTTTTTTGAGAAAATTTAGAGATTAATTTTAAATAAAAAGGCATATTTTTCAATAATTTAGAGGTTTTTTTTTATTCTTTTTAAAGTCATATAGTCTCATTTCAGATGAAGAGCTTTCATTCCTTTTAAAGTTACATAGCCTCATTGTAAATGAGGAGTTTTGACTCTTTTTAAAGTTATGTAGCCTCATTTCAAATGATAAACCTTTATTCTTTTTATAGTTAGGTACCCTCGTTCTAGATAAGGAGCTTTTATTTCTTTTAAAGTTATGCAGCCTCATTCTAGATAATGAGCGCTTATTCCATTTAAAGTTATGCAACCTTAATCCCGATGAAGAGCTTTCATTCCTTTTAAAGTTACACAGCCTCATTCTAAATGAGGAGTTTCTACTCCTTTTAAAGTTATGTAACCTTAATTTAGATAAGGATTTTTCATTCTTTAAAGTTATGTAGCCTCATTCCAAATGATAAACCTTTATTCCTTTTATAGTTAGGTAGCCTGGTTTTAGATAACGAGCATTTATTTCTTTTAAAGTTATGTAGTCGCATCCCAGATGAGGAGCATTTATTCCATTTAAAGTTATCTAGCCTCATTCTAAATGATCTGAGCTTTCATTCTAAAGTTACATAGCCTCATTTTAGATGAGGAACCTTTACTCATTTTAAAGTTATGTAGTCTTATTCCAAATAAGGAGTTTTCATTCCATTTAAAGTTACATAGCCTCATTCCAGATGAGAAGCCTTTCATTCTTTTTAAAATTACATTGCCTCATTCCAGACAAAGAGCCTGCTATTCCTTTTAAGGTTACGTACCCTTGTTAGAGATGATGAGCTTTCTAATTCTTTGAAGTAAAATCTTTGCAACTAAAATAGTGTCTGCATCTTTTAACAATTCTTGGTTCTCAAGAAATGTACAAAAAGGGAAAGCTGTAGACATTGCATTTAGTTTAGGGGTCTATTGAAAATTAAAAGACATATAGATTAAAAATGGAAATAAATGGAAAAAATAGAAAAATAAGAAAGCAAAAGAATACCATCGGATGAACATGTTAAATAGAAAATAAGGGATAAAGATTGGTGTAAACTGATCTTAATCCCATTCTAATACAAATTCTAAAAAAAATTTAAAATAGACTTAAAACAAGAAATACAATTTAAAAGTGTCACAACCCGTTCTAGGGCCATGACTGGCATAAAGGTCTACTTAGGTATGTGTCACATTCCATTTTATGGAGGGATCACAACCGGTGCATGGACTTAAACAGGTATAGCCCGTTAAGCCTAAGTAAGCCTCTTTTCATTTATTCGTTAAACATTCATTGTCATATACTAAAATGTTCAATAATTAAATCACATGCATTCATTCATAGGCTGTGTAACCGCTTTCATTCCATTATCTTATCAAACTGTCAAAATCTCATACATTATATCATTTAATCATTCATCTACACCCTCAGGTGTCCATGTAAGCTCTTAAGCCACCTTTGCAACATTTAACCATAACATTTCATTAAGTAATGTTAAACCTAGTTTTCGTTACTTGGACAAACTAGGTAATTAGCTTGGTGAGCTTGGGAAATGCATTGACTAGCTTAAATCCCTTGATTTCTAACCTTGAACAAACTATTCACAAAATATTTGAAGGTTGGTGGGTGGACAAGAGTTGATTTAGAACTCAAAAAGATCAATTTTTGCAACTCGGAGGTGAAAAGGTCAATTTTTATCCTTAAAAAGTCAACCTTAGGAATTATTTTGAATAGGGCCAACTTTTTAGACTAGGGTCAACTACCCCCCTTATTGTAGTCGACCCTAGGTAGATTTTTAGCCATAGTCAACCCTTGAGTGAACTAGTTGTAGTCAACCCTTGAGTGAACTAGTTGAAAAATAAAACTTTAAAACCCAATAATCCGAGCCTCCTTCATTTCTTTCGTTCTTTTTTTTTCTTCCACTCATTTTCTCTCAAATTTCTTATCCCATATTTTGCCTTGACCCTAGCCATATGTTAAAAGTTGAATAAAGTCCTAAGGATCCTTGATTAACTATTAGTCAATATTAGTGGAGAGAAAGATGAAAAGCAAACATATGAAATTCTAGACTAATTTGAATTTTGCATGAACATAAATTTATCTGGATTGCATGATGTTCATTGTAAGAGATTACTCACACATGATAATCCATTTGAGAATGAGCTTGCATTTAAGTTGAAATGTGAACTTGAATAAAATTTATGTTTTGCTTTGAGTCAAGAAAATGAGATGACTTATAAGGAATTTAAAGGTGATCATTAACTTGGTGGAAACTACTTCTAGTTAAATGTTTTCTTTGTTTATGTTTTTTCTTTTCATTTTATGTTATTTCATTTCATTTTAAGTTTTGCTTTAGGACTTGCAAAATATTAAGTTTAGGGATGTGATAACTCTATTACATAGAGATATCTTGTCACATTTTGGGTGCTAAATTCTCGAGTTTTAGGTGTAGTTCTAAGTTGTTTAAGTTGGTAGTTCTAAGTTGTTTAAGTTGGTTTTCTTTAAGTTAATAAAAACATGTTGTGTCAATTTAATTTTATTTATTTTAGCTCATTTGTATGCTAAAATGTTTAATTTTAGCTGCTATTGATTTAGTTCCTTGGTTTGAAGGTCCACAAATGAAGAGGGCTTAAGTAGCAATGAATTATGATAGGATGGCTAGGTGTAAATTTTTACTGAATATGTTGTGATGTCTTGAGCACTACTTGAGCTACAGAAGTCAAATTGCTGTGATTTTTACACCATTGGAAAGATAAGCTAATGTTCTACAACTTTTGTGTTTATCACATCACCTAGTTCTTATTGAAGCATGGCCAAAATCATGTGGGAAATGGCTGAATGGCAATAAGGACAACATTGAGGGTGGAAGCTACAGAGCACAAACCCAATAAGCACAATGTCGTAGTGTTACCTCTATTCAGCCTATAGAACAACAAGTTTAGCACCATGATGTCATGCTCCTAGCACTGCAGGTTTGCCCCACTTCGTTAAACAAGGCACAAGACAACATCTTTGTCATCATGGGGCCAACCACTTGGCGACATAACACCGACACATAACTTGAAAATTTTGCACCCTCCGATCTTTTAAATCAAAGGGCTATTTGGAAGGGTTTAAAAAAGGGCTTTTTGTGGCTAAAAAGGTAGAGGTTAAAACTGTTCGGATGAGCCCTGTAGCCAATTGGGATTAGGTAAGGTTTGATTCCGATTATGCAACAGTATCATTCATGTTGAGTGATTATAGGTTTTCCTTCATTAACAAGACATCAATTATAATGAGTTATCAGTCTAATTAGGTGAAGTTCAGGATATTAATATGCCTTGCAAGGGAACTATAATGGGTTGTAGTTGTGAGATCTTTATGCTTCAAAGCATAATCTCAAAATGTTCCTGGTCAATGTATCATTGAGACTGGACATCAATGATGCTTAAAGATTGGTGTATTCTATGTTTCTTACTTTGAAAGTAAGCAACCAATCTCTTAAATTGAAGTATAGAAATACTTGAAACTACAATATAGGTGCTTGCCTAAGAGAGCAAGTTCACTGAACATGACTCGCAAAGAGAAGCGCATTTGGTAATACACTTAAGTGTTTATGCAACGTATCTCATGTGTCAGTCATGTAAATACTCTTTAGACTTGAGACATTAGGTTGTCTTATTTGTGGAGTGCTATACTTTGATTTCATCCCTACAAGTGTTTAACCAAGGAGGCCACAACATGATGCTTTTGGGTATAGTATGAAACATGTGAAGGCAAATGAGTGGTCAAGATAAGAATGATCATGTTAAGTTTTTTAAAGGACATATCCTATCAGTTCTTGGTTAATATTAGCTTATTGAAGTCTTTGGCTAAGGCGACATGGAGATTATGAAAAAGGTTACATAACTGTCTATAACGCTAATGCAGTAACTACAAGAATGAATATGAAGATCAATAAGAATAGACATTGTACAAAACTCTTCTCATCTCTGGGATATATAGTGAATGAATGAATTACATTGATAGACTATACACTGAGAGGTTGTTAAAGAACCCTTTGACTTTCTTAATAATTAGGTGGCCATGATGCATTGCTATATGCCAATCTTGATCTATGGAATTGATTATAAATTAATTGATTG